GCCTCCAATACGGTTCTGTCCTCATCATTCAACATATTCAAGGATGTCAACCAGCCACATAAAGAATACTCCATATGTCTCCATTTGAGAAATTACTTAATTACTTGATTAGTTATAAGGAATATTGAGTTTTAGGATTAATGTGAATTAACTCAATAATTTAATCTTAAATCACCTAAAAAGTAAATAATTAGGGAATTATAAAACCTTCAATAAACTTTAGATTAGTATAATGAGTGGAAGCAATAAACAGGTATTCAACATTAAAATAAGATATTTTAACAAATAAATGAATAAAGAGTTAAAAATGAAAAAGATTGAAAATGGCTAAGTATTAGAATATAAAATTTTTTAACTATAATATAGAAACCTTCTTAAAATAACAAGTTGAGGCAATTGACATAGTTCAAAATCATTATAAGTCACTTAGCCAAATAAAAGAAAAGTAAAAAAATTAAATAGATGAATATCATAAAATGGTATCTACAATATTTAGCCCTACTTCTAAATATCTTATTTGAATAATAACACTTAAAGAAAGCCTGTAGATAGATCTAAGAGTTAACTAAATGTGTAATTCCATTAATTCCAAAAATTTAGTAAATCTGAGTAAGCTAGTCAAAGTTATTTACCAACAACTTTTTGATGCAGCTCACGTTAGTACCGGCTCCTGCAGGACATCCTACCGGCATAACAAACTCTGGCAGTTTTCCCTATCTAATTTTCTATTACTGCTTACAGCACTATCGTTTACTTTTTAGTTGCTTAACTAATTTTAGTATTGGAAAATAGAGAAAGGTTACATATAGCTGAAACTAAAAGATGTATACAGTTCTTGCTTATTATCCAATATATCAGTACCGAAACTACACTATCCTGTAGTTTCTTCTATCCATTCCTTGCTAACGATTCCTTCCAGGTCTTGTCCGATCCAGCAGCGTGCTATCACTTTTTGAAGTTTAATTAAAATAAATATTAATTCAAAAATAAAGAAATAGGATGTTATAAAATTATTTTATTGAAAAATCATCCAACTTATATACTTTATATAGGGGTGTCAAAATATGTCAATGGGTCGTGTTCAGATACAACTGGCCTAACCCGGGTCCAAATGAGTTAACATGAACACATCCCAATTTTACAAACAGATCAGGTTTCCCAACCCGGACCTGACCCGACCCACGAACCCTATTGCAAGCGGGTCTAGCTGAGCAAGACAGAGTGAGGGAAATAGAGGAGGAAGCCTACTTCGTGCGTGCATCAGGATGAATCGACAAGGGAACTTTATGTTTTTTTTTTTTCCTTCTTGCATGCAGCTTAGAGAGATCAAACTGCATGTGTGCGCCTAGCCTGAGAGAGATCAGAGAGGGAGCAGAGGCGATCGAGCAATTCTACTTATGTGTGACGAGATGACGAACATGAGGACTTTGGCTAGGTCTTCTTTACATTTTTGTGTGTGAAAGGGGTAGTAGTTGATCCCCTTTCTCAAGGAGTTGAGGGAACTTGGGAGCCTTTGGGAGTGCGCGGCAGCTACGACTGGGTTGAGTAGCATACTATCCCTAAACCCTAAACTGATCAATTCTAGGCTTCAGTTCAAAGGAACATGGAGTTAGGCGTCCATTAGAGCTCATTCATGATCCTATGAGCTGAGGATTTAGCACACTCATCACAGAGGCAAATATGACGAATCCTTATAAGATTTTGGGTCAAAACGAGTCAAGTCAGGTTAGTAGGTTGACCTGGATCTGACCTAATTTTTTAAACGAGTCAAAAACTAAAACCCGAACTCGAACTGTTTGTTAAACATTTGTTTGTTAAACAGATCGACCCAAGCCCAAATTGTCCAGGTCGAGTTAGCAGGTCGTGTCAATAATTGACACCCCCTAACTTTATAAATACATATATTTTTTTTTTCTAAAAAATATAATCAATTGAAAAGTTATATTTATATTAGTGCAGAATAAAATTATATAAATAATTATTGTAGCGCATAATGATCATTTTTTCAATTATAAATTATTACCTATAAATAAAATAAAAATTAATAAATAACAATTACATAAAGTCTAAATTAAACTTAAATTATAAACTAAATTTAAAATTTCAATGAAGTAATCATTTTAAATTTGAATCATCTTATCTAATAATTTATAGAATTTAACAGAATTTAACAGAATTTAACATTCAACTTGGAATAATAACTTTTATCGTAATTTACTAAGGGATTATTTCGTTTGAAATAAAGGGAGGGTAAAGTATTCCGATTGCAGATGTTTGATTTGAAGTAAATTAAATGCAGTGTAAAATTTTAATATATTTGAATCATCTTAGTTTAATTTTAGTATATTTGAATTTCTCATATTTATGCAATTTTTAAATACATTGTAACTTCATTGCTTGCCAATGGTTGCCGCCGCCTCCTCTACCTGTCATTTTCGCCCACCACCACCACTGACCTCCACCATCATCGATCGCCATCAATCATATTTTATATTACATTCATTTTATCTCAAATTAAACAAAAAAAAAATTCTCACATTTAATTTAAACTCATTCAAATAATTTTAAAATATTTCAAAAATGCATTATTGATTTTATATTCATTTCTATTATAAGTGGATTCCTTATTCAGCAAATCAAACACTTTTCACTAAATTCTGCCAAAGTTTGCCAAGCTGCTACTTTCGTGGCCAAACCCTAAATTCCTAACTGGTTGGCAACTCCCGACCGTATGGCGCTGTGATACCAGGATTCCCTGCACCATTGTTGGTCGCTGGATTGAAGAGAAGCTGGAGCAGCTGGAGCGACTAATAATCCTTAGCGATCATAGCCATGGCGTTCCTTCTCAGGAGAACACTCTTGGCGAAATGCATTCCATCCATTCGTTATCCTCGCTATATCAGTAATCATTCGCAACTGGCCCATGCGCTTACCTGCGAATTTGATACCGGTGCGCCTCTATTTAGTTTAAAAGGAGGTATTGTTTGTACTGGCTTTGATCCATTTTGGGCGATTCGAAGAGGCTTTGCCAAAGGAAGAAAAACGAGTAATAATTCTTGTCTTTCACCTTCGCGCAACATCAATGTTCTTCTTTTCCTCTGTTTCTTTATTAGGTTGAAATATTTATTATCACTCCCATGCTGGTTGATCTGATTGCTTGAAATTAATTTCATCGTACTTGTAAGAGCATCTACGATGACCACACAGCTTGAATTTTACCTACATATTTAGTAATATTTTATTTCATTTTAAATGGCTTGAAAACTAATTTCAGCATTAATTGAATCAATACATTTTATTATCTAAATAAAAATGTAAGCACTCATTTTTTATTAGGGAAATTTACATGCATATCACTTCATACTATCCTATTTACAAATCTAACACCCAAAACATTAATATTACATACATACCACTCTATATTATTTTAATATCAAATATGCCACTCATATTTCCTTCCTGCCACTCATATATTTCATTTCTATCACTTATATTTGATATGAAAATGAACTATGAGTGGTATATATGTAATATTAAAATTTTAAATGTTAAATATGTAAATAGAATAATATATGGTGGTATGAATGTAAATCTCCCTTTTTATTTTTTTACTTTATCACCAGCCTTAAATTTTAACAAATTGAATACTTGGTTCCATAAAAACTTCAAAATTTATGGTAAGCACCATGAAATTTCTTAATGCCAAAAGCATCCCATATATCAAATGAGAGTTCTAGACATAATTGAAGGTTTGCTTCTCTCAAGTCACATTCAAGCTCCTAAGTTTTGAAGCTTATTATCTAAAGTCATTGCCAATTTACTACAGCCTAACAAATTTCTAAGGAAGTGATACTGAACAAGAACATAATCAAAATTTAATTCTTGTGCAGCGGCCCTTGCACACTTGTCACTGTATTCAGGCCATACAGCGCGTCGCTTCCAGGGGACACCCTAGCATTAACACAATTTCTTAAAGGATTCATGTCATTATTGTTCGACAAGTTTTACGCTGGCTGTCGACTACCTAACGCAACCCTCCACTTTTCTCATCCAGGACTTGGGACCTGGCAACGGCAGTGTTAAATAGGCAAGGGTTCTCACATCAAGGACGGATGTGGGCAAAGAAGCTAGTCCATGAAACTAAAATTAGGATAGGAACTTGGAATATAGGTTCCCTTATAGGAAAATTAATGGAATTAATAGATATTATGATTCATAGGAAGTTAAATATTTTGTGCATTCAGGAAACTAAATGGGTTGGAGATAAGGCTAAGGAAATTGATAGTTTAGGATTTAAACTTTGGTATTCGGGTAGGAGTCGTACTAGAAATGGTGTAGGTGTTATTATAGATAAGAGTTTAAAGGATAATGTTATAAAAATTAATAGGATTGGAGATAGAATTATAGCTTTAAAGATTGTTGTTGGTGGTAAGATTGTTAATATTTTAAGTGCTTATGCTCCTCAAGTAGGTTTGGATATGAGTTCTAAATTAAATTTTTGGAATGACTTAGAAGAATTAAAACAAAATATACCTCTTGAAGAAAGAGTTTTTATTGGAGGAGATTTAAATGGACATGTTGGTAGAGAGGTAGATGATTTTAAAAGCATTCATGGTGGCCATGGATTCGGAACGACGAATGAAGGTGGCAAGACCATATTAGATTTTTGTTTAGCTTATGATTTTTCAATTGCTAATACCTTATTTAAGAAAAGGAATGAGCATCTCATCACTTATAAAAATGGATATAATACAACCCAGATTGACTATTTTCTTATTAGAAAATTAAATCATTTAGATTGCAAAGATTGTAAAGTTATTCCGAGTGAAAATTTATGTACCCAACATCGTTTATTAGTTTTGGACTTTAAGATAAAGGGGCATAAAATAAAAAATAAAGTAAAACAATTTTCTAGGATTAAATGGGGGCATTTAAAGAATATTAACAAAAATATTTTTGGAAATAAGATTTTAGATCTTAAGATTTTGTCTGTGCATGAGGATGCTAATATTATGTGGGAAAAAGTGGCTACTGATATTAAGAATATTGCAAAAGATGTCCTTGGAGTATCAAAGGGAAAAGCTCCCAATAGTAAAAATAGTTGGTGGTGGAATCCAATTGTGCAAAAAAAGATTA